AATGGTGTCTCGCCATGTTGCCCAGGCTGGTCTTGAATTCCTGGGGTCTAAAGGGCCACCTGCCTCAGCAACCCAAACTCCTAGGATTACAGCTATGAGTCACTGTGTGCAGCTGTTTCCTAGCAAATTAAAGGGCAATAAGTAGAGATGGAGGTAGAATGCAGGGGACTAGATAGGAAGGTACAGAATTCAAAGAAATGGAAGAGAGCAATCAAAATATATACATATATACAGTTAATCCTCCATGTCCACTGGGTCTGCATGCACAGATTTAACCACAAATGAAAAATATTTGGAAAGTTAAAATATGAAAATAGGATGGGAGCTGTGCTTACAAATCCAGCCCTGATCACATCACTGCATTCCAGCCTGTGTGACAGAGTGAGACCCTGTCTCAAAAAAAGCCAGGGGGGTGGCGGTGAGGGGCACAAATAACAATACAAAAATTTTTAAATGATGCAAATAAGAAATATTTATGTAGAATTTGTGTTATATTAGGTATCAGGTTTGGTTTTGTTTTTGAGAGGGGGTCTCCCTCTGTCGCCAAGCTGGGGTGCGGTAGCACTATCTCAGCTCACTACAACCTCCACCTCCTGGGTTCAAGCAATTCTCCTGCCTCAGCCTCCTAAGTAGCTGGGACTACAGACGAGTGCCACCACACCCAGATGATTTGTGTATTTTCGGTAGAGACCTTGTTGGCCAGGATGGTGTCGATCTCTTGATCTGATCTGCCTGCCTTGGCCTCCCAAAGTGTTGGGATTACAGGCGTGAGCCACCACACCCAGCCAGGTATCAGGTATTGTAAGTCATCGCTTGATGGTTTAAAGCATATGAGAGAACACGCATAGTATACATGCAAATACTACACCATTTTATATACATGAGAGCCTGGGACATCCTGAGACACTGGTAATCATAACCAATTTGAGAGAAAATTGTACACACGCACAACATGAAAAATATGAAGAATTAGGCAGTATGTAGCATTTCATCACATAAGAAAACAGTATCATATACTTGTGAAAATACAGTGGGTATGTATTATGAAAACTAGACTGCAGTCAGGCAAATTTGGAAGCAGTGGATGAGCTGATGCTGCTGTGGTTAGATGGTGGTGACAGTGGCTTGGGCCAGCTTGCTAGCTGTGCAGGTGGATAGGACTAATTAGACTGTAGATGTCTGAGATGGAACTGACAGAGTTTACTGTGTGTGGAATATGCCGTGAAAGATAAGGTGGACTCAAAGGTTACTTGGATGTTCGACTTAAGTCCATGGAAGATGAGAGTTGCCTTTTACTAAGGAGGAAAGCTAGGGAGGGGCAGGTGTGTCAGAAATCGAAATTTACATTTTGGACACATGAAGTTACAAATGTCAGGTAAACATCCAAGTGGAAACACTAAGTGGACAGTGGAATGTGTGAGTCGGAAGGGCGGGGAGAGCACTTCGTTGAGATATAAATCTGACAGTTGTCTACTAACGAGCTGACCGATGGGCGATAGCCCCTGGTAGCTTCAGGATGACAGCTGGAAAGATCCAGGCAGGATTAGGAAATTGGGACTTTGAACCCCACCCTCCAACTTCTGGAAAGGAGGTAGAGCTAAAGGTTAAGGTGATCACCAATAGCCAATGGCTTAATCAATCATGACTATAGAATAAAGCCTCCAGAAAAAGAAAACAAAAAGCCTGGGTGTGGGGAGGGTCCAGATAGTTGAATATGTGGAAGTTCCTGGAGGTGGTTTGTCCAGAGAGGGCAGGAAAGCTCTGCACCCCTTCCCTCACATCTCACCCTATGCATCTCTTTATCTGTAACCTTCGTAATATCCTAGTAAACTGGTAAACCTAAGTATTTCACTTAGTTCTGTGAGCCACTCTGGTAAGTTAATCAAACCCAAAGAGGAGGCGAACAGGAGCCCTGACCTGAAGCCAGTCAGTCAAAAGTTTCAGAAGCCCAGACCTGGAACTGGCATCTGAAAGAGGGGCAGTCTTGCATGACTGAGCCCTGTGGGATCTGACAGTATTTCCAGTTACAAAGTGTCGGAAGTGAATTGGAGGACACCCAGCTGAGGTGCACTGCAGAACTGATTGCCTGGTGTGTGGAAAAACACATTTGCTTGCACAAGTCTTTCTCTGTTGATTGTTGTGGTGTGAGAGCAGTGGAAAAATGATTTATTTTTTTCCCTCAGAGAGTCATACAACAAATATATGGTCAAACAATTGCACCCTTTAATTGTGACCCGTGAACAATGCATGTAAGAATTATGTGCATATAAGAAACAGAAACATAGGCTAGATGCGGTGGCTCACGCCTGTAATCCCAGCACTTTGGGAGGCTGAGGCGGGCAGATCACTTGAGGTCAGGAGTTTGAGACCAGCCTGGCCAACACGGCGAAACCCCATCTCTACTAAAAATACAAAAAAATTAGCCAGGCATGATGCTGTACCTGTAATCCCAGCTACTCGGGAGGCTGAGACAGGAGAATGACTTGAACCTGGGAGGCGGAGGTTGTAGTCAGCTGAGATCATGCCATTGCACTGCAGCCTGGGTAACAAGGGTGAAACTCTGTCAGAAGAAAGAGAAAAAGAGAAAGGGAGAGAGGAAGGGAGAAAAGGAGAGAAAGAGAGACAAAGGAAGAAAGAGAGAGAGACAGAGAGAGGAAGGAAGGAGGGAGGGAAAAAACGGAGGGAGGGAGGAAGGAAAAAAGGGAGGGAGGGAGGGAGGGAAAAAGGGAGTGAGAAAAAGAGAAACAGAAATGTGGGTGTCAGAAAATACATCAGTAATTCTCCTTGGTGGGAGAGTATGAGTAAAGTAGCAGGGTTGTGTGGACTATGCATGACTAGGTGGGACAGCTGGGAGCCTCTTTAGCAGAGTGGGTCTCTTAGTGAGCACGCAGGAGAACATTGCAAGTAGGTCAGAAACAGGTTGGGGAGAGGTTCTGGGAAGCCAAGGTTTACCTGTAAACCATGCTATCACTGTCTCCAATGCAGGTTAGGGTTCTAGAAATGTGCAATGCGTGGCCTGTGTTATCACATGGGCCTCCTGGGACAGATTACTTTTATTATTTATATGCTTTAATATCAACAGGCGAGTCAGAGACTCTGCTGGGAGAGGCTTACATAGAAAAATCCTCCTACATTAAGGAATGCATAGAAGAATATAATCAGATATGTAGGTTCGATAAAACAATAGTATCTTTTCTCTCTAGAATTGGTTCCAGAATAAAAGAGCCAGACTTCCACCTGAAGAAAGACAAAGAATCTTTTTTCTTCAGAAAAACCGTGATTTCCTAGTAAAAGCCCATCCATTTTTAAGCTGCCAGGAGACGCAGGCTGCAGCTCCCAGCTATGCCACTGAGCAGAGCTTCTCTGATGCCCAGAGGGCTTTGATGGGTAGAGCTGGTTATTCCCCTCTGGAGCAACAGGGGATTCCTCATCAACAGATGGGCTACAATTGCTTCTCTTTGGAGAATCAAGAGACTCCTAGTCAACAGGTGGGCCCTCAATGCTCCTACCTGGAGAAACAAGGGATGGCCAGTCAACAGGTAGCCTCCCAGTGCTCCTATCTGGCCACAGGCACTGAAAAGCAACCAGACTGTGCTTTGGCGTATGGAGGTGATGCAGGAAGTGGGCATTCTACTGACTATCACTTTCTAAGATACAACTCTGAAGTATGCATTCATCCTCCTCCACCTTCTGTGCCATATTTTTATGGAAAAAGAACTGAAATCAGGGAAAGCCAGAATCCAAGTCCCTTCCTTTTGGATTATGCGCAAGGTGCATATGGGGTGAAGAGGCCTCAGGAAGAGTAGAAGATAAACCACTGTCGTTGCTCATTCTGTCTCTCACTGCTGCAAGAACAGCAGCAGAATGAATCGCAGTATCACCCACAGCAGCACCAACAGCCTCTGAAGCGCCTACAGGGGATGATGTTCCAGCAACAGCTGCTGATGGACTTGGGTCCTTGGGGTCTAGGGAAGCAGTGGCCCTCTGCTCAGTCACAGCTGCAGAGTCAACTGCCTCAGGATAATGGAAAGCCCTTGTGCTCTCAGCTGCAGCACGTGCCTCCCCAAATAGCTGCTGACTCATGCCTGCTGCCTCTAGGGCAACATATGCAGGAAGAGGCTTCAGAGCAATCCAGGGCCCAAGTGCAGCAGTTTTAGGTTGAGGGGTCTACGAAGGCCGACCACAGGGACGCAAGGATGCAGCTCTGCAAAGTATTGCTAAGTGTCAGAGAACCATAGCCACAGGTCAGGGCCAGAGCCACCCACACAGCAGACCAAAGCGAAGCTATCTCCAGAAGCCTCCGCATTAAAAGAAAAAAAAGGCAGGCCAGCCGAGGTGAGATTGAGCCTAAGAGCTCATTAGAAGAGCCTGGGCGACATGGTGAAACGTCATCTCTAAAAAAAACCACTTTTTAAAAAAATTAGCTGGGCGTGGTGGTGAGCTCCACCCCCTTTCTAACACACACACACACACACACACACACACACACACACAAATTTAAGCCAGCCACAATGGCATGTGCCTATAGTTCCATTTAATTGGGAGGCTGAAATAGAAGCATCACTTGAGCCTGGGACGTGGAGGCTGCAGTGGACTGTGATCGCTCCACTGCACTCTGGCCTGAGTGACTGAGATCCTGCCTCAGAACAAACAAAACTGTCAGGAAGGCTCCATGAGCTGTTGGTCCCTTCTTGCAGAGAGGCAATGGCCACATGTGTTAGAGCTCCTGACCACATAGTTTATGGCGACCTGAAAAAGCCTGACTCGAGTTCCGGTCTGGCAGAACGCGGGGAGAGACGCAGGGCGCCGCGAGCTCCCCCTGGGTCCTCCAGGCCCTCGGCCCCGGGCCGGCGGGTGAGCTGGAGTCCCCGGGACAGGCCGTGCCCGCTGCCCTTCAGACACCGGAGGCCTCCGCTGTGGCTGCCCACTGGCCTGGCCAGGCTCAGGCCTTGGAGCCGTGGCGAACCACTCTACCCTACCCCACTTCGGTGACTGATGGCGGCGGTGGCTTCTCCCAGCCCGTACCCCAGCCTGGACCCCGCTGGCCACTGGGTCTCCCTGCCCAAGTGTGCTGCGCCTCCACGAAGCCCCAGCTGAGCTGCCCGGACGCAACGCCTTTGGGTGGCGACGGGATTGGCGGCCAGGAAACATGGGGGCCGCTGGAACGCTGCACGGCTGAGGCCGTTTAGGTCATGGAGGGCCTGGGAAGGCGGCCTGAGGACGCAGGCTGGCCCGGCCGCATCTTTAGGCCACGGAGTCGTGCAGACCCGGGTCCCCAGTGACCGCTCTGTCCCCATTGGGCGAGACCTACCTGGTCCCGACCACGACGGACAAAGGCCTTAACAGGCCTGGGAGGTGAGCAAAGTTCGGAACGACTGCGGGTGGAACGGGGTTAGTCTTCATTCTACCAGAGCCTGGTGTCGGAAGAGAGAAACGGTAGAATGACAGGCCACGTTTGGCCCGTTGGAAATGCCCACCACCCTCTGGGAAGATTTACTGGCCGTTTATGGAAGGCCTGCGTATATCATATGAAACTCCACCCCAACCTTTTAAGAGAAAACATTTCTCACATCTAGCCCTTCTAGATGTAAAGAGGTTGCCAACTTATGATAAAGTCAGAAAACCACACATCTTGTAAATTCTCATTTGTTTAAAAGAAATCATAGAAAACACACGTCTTCTGGAGATGACTTTTGGAAATGCGGTTGTTAGATGGCGATACGTCCACGTTTGTTCAGTGGGTTAGATGACATGGAGCTGGAAGACCTGAGAAGGAGAAGGAGGTTCTATGCCAGACTGGTCATATTTAGAAGACATTTTCATATTCTAGCCATTGTTTTGTGTGCATTTTATGCTTCACTACTGTATATATAGTTGACAATGCTAAACTTTTTTGAAACGTCTGTTTTTAGATGTTCTGAAGTGCCTGATGTTAAAATTAGAGGTGGTAAAATCACATTTTGTTTTCTGGGGGGAATGGCCAAATCACCTGTTGAGTAATACTCACTGTGTGTGCAGTGGTTCAGGGGAGGAGGAAGGAAGGGGAAGTGCAGAGAGTTCTATGCCACCCTGCTTACAGCAAGGCAAGATGAATTATTACATCTCTGCATTTTGTTTTACTTACCTGTGCATATAGTGTACATAAAGGACAAATGAGTCCTACCTTTAACAACATGTAGTCTTTCTAGAGGTTGCCAGTGTATGACAGAAGTTGCGTTAGTAACCTCATGTTTTGTGCATTTTGTTTTCCAAGTCTAGGAAAGATTGTCTTCTGAAAATTTAAGCATTCTTGCCCACTGGGTTGATGGAGATGGGAAGGGTTATAGGCCAGAATGTTCACATTTGGAAGGCTCTTTCAAATTATAACTGTTGTTACATGTTTGCAGTTTATTCAAGACTGCTGTGTACACAGTGGACAAATTAACTCCTTACTTGAAACATCTAGTCTATCTAGGTGTTTAGAAGTGCCTGATGTATGTTAAATATAGAGGTAGTAAAATACCACTTTGTAAATATCTTTTTACTAAAATTCATAGGAAATACATTTGGTATTGAATTGTGAAGCCACCTTTGTGAGCAGTATAGTACTGTCTATACTTGTTCAACGGTTTAGAGGAGGTGGGAGGGAAGAAATTGCAAACAGTAATATTCTAGTGTGTTCACACTTGGACATTTCAGACACTATTTTTCTGTAGGTTTTGTGCATTTTCTTTTGCTCTCTATATAGTGTATATAATGGACAATGAGTCCTAATTTTTCAACATCTAGTCTCTGGATGTTGAAGAGGTTGCCAGTGTATGGCAACGTATTTAGTAAAATCAGCATATTTTGTACCCTGTTTGATAAAATTCATAGAAAACTTGTCTTCGGTAAATGACTTTTGCATTGGAATTTGTTCAATCATCTCTAAGCATTACACGTGCCTGTTCTTGTCCACTGGATTGAAGGCAGAGAAGAAAGAGAGGAGGATTCAAGGCCAAAATGGTCATATTTAGAAGATACCTCAGATAATAACCATTGTTATGTGTATGCAATTTTAGTTAACACTGCTGTGTACATGGTGGACAAGTTATATGAAATATCTAGTCTTTCTAGATCTTTGGAAGTGCTTGGTGTATTTAAAAGTAGTAGTAGAATAACACTTTTTGTAAATAGCTTTTAAAAAGTGATGGGAAATGCTGTTGGGAAGTGGAATTGTGGAACCACCTGGCAGGTGGGAGGGAAGAAGTTGCAAAAGGTGTTTTGCCATTGTTTATTAGAAAATTTCAGCTTAATCCATTGTCTATATGTTACATGCATTTCATTTAACTTTGCTATACTGTATATATTATGTATATACTGGACAAATGAGTCCCAATTTTATAATATCTAGTCTCTAGATATTAAAGAGGTTGCCAATGTATGACAGAAGTAGAGTTAGTAAACTAACACATCCTGTACACT